GGGCAGCTCACGAAAGGAGGCTGTTCATAGCAGGGCTGACACGTGGACTCTCTAGATACGAATGCCTTTGGGAAAGGAGGCACATGGCCTCACATGAAGGGACAAATACATCTGTGCCCGACTTTCCGAGATGCAGACACACAGCAGCCTCCATTTGTCTTCTGGGAGACTCAGATGAAAATGAAACATAGCTTCATAAATAGCACGGCAGAGCCAGCAGAAAGGAAGGTGAAAGGATCCACAATATCAAGTGCTGACAAGGACCTAGAACACTTCTGATGGGAGCAGAATCACTTTGAAAATCGTTTAGCAAAATCTTTCAGTGGTATGCAGACCTAGCAGGTCCACTCCCAGGTATATCCTGAACAGAAATGCATGTTATGTAACATAAAAAGGGAGCTTCAAGAATCTTTAAAGCACAAGCTGGAAACAGCACAAATGCTTTTGTTAATAGAGTGGATTTCATACCTTGCAGTATTATGCGGCAGTGGAGAGAGGAACTACTGTTACGTGTTACGACATGAACTAGTTTTCAAGGGTAACACTGAATGAAAGCAGCCAGACAGAAATTGCCACTTAGGAGAGGACGAGGTCAGGGGCGGGGACCGAGAGGCCTGATGAGACGTCATGGCCTGACTGTTACCTGGATGGTATTTACAGACGTGCTCAGTTTGTGATAATTCACACACGATTTTGGGGTACACCTTTATGTGAGTATGCTATACTTGAGTAAGCATTTATGAAAAACAAGTTTCAATGGTGTGACCCTAATGTGTTAAAACGAATGTGCCTGAGTGTAATTTATAATGTAGAAGAGGTGCCAGTAGAAACTGAAGGAGAAGGGAAGGAATGTCATTGCTCACACACCTGAAAAGATGGGGCTGGAGTCTGGCTTCACGCTCGAGGCCTGGCGGCCCTGAGTCCCGCTGTCCTTCAGGTCAGCTTTTTAGTGGACCTGCAGCTTGTCATTCTCCCTTCCCATCGGAGGGTGGCCGCCCCAGCTCCACCCTGTGCACACTTGCTTTGATTCACAGCAGCAGCAAGGAAGAGCCCTGGCTTGGCTCTTATTCCTGTAAAGGGCCACCTCACCACTCCCGAACTGTCAGTCATGGTGGCTGGAGGAGGGCGTAGCTGTGCCTCTTAGCCCGGTCAAGACCTGTCCTGAAGGAAGAGGCTTTCCATCTGGACCACAAGGGTTGGGCATAGGGAGACGTGGCCCCCAGAGCATCTTCAGGGCTCTCTTCCAGCAAGGATGAGTAGATGTTTGGTGGGTAACACAGTGATGTCTACTACAGACGTGGAAGCACTTTAAGAGGCAAAAAGTGCCATCTGGGATAAATTTGTCTCTTGTTCATATGTGATTCACCCAGTGAGAGGTTGCGTGCCTGCCAGCTGGTTGGCACCATGAGGGGCTGGCCCTGAGGGAACTTCTAGCTAGATGCTGCTGGAGCGCCCAGTGACCAGCCCCACCTCATGGGATAAGTGACTACTGACCATGCGCCCTGTCAGACCTCATGGGAGAGGTGACCACTGAAGAGATGAGAAAGACGTGGCCAGGCAGAGCATTAAGACTTCCAGGGAAAAACAAGGAGAATTTTTTTTTTTTTTTTTTGAGACGGGGTCTTGCTCTCTTGCTCAGGCTGGAGTACAGTGTTGCTATCTTGACTCACTGCAACCTCTGCCTCCCGGGTTCAAGTGATTCTCCTGCCTCAGCCTCCCGAGTAGCTGGGGTTATAGGCAGGTGCCACCACATCTGGCTGCATTTTGTGTTTTTGGTAGAGATGGGGCTTTACCATGTTGGCCAGGCTGGTCTCAAACTCCTGACCTTGTGATCCGCCCGTCTCGATCTCCCAAAGTGCTGGGATTACTGGTGTGAGCCACTGTGCCCGGCCAAAAATCTTTTTTATATAAGATACAAGAACGCTGATTATAAAAGAAAAGCTATCAATTTGACTTCATGAAACTTGAAGACTTCATCTGCTTGAGACAAAACAGCAAGCCTTAGATTGTGGTGAGGAATGACAGTACATATACAGGAAAGAGATTCGTATCTAGAGTGTGTACAGAGCTCATCAAACTCAGTAATAAGATGACACACAACCTGGGTAAACACTGGGCCAAAGATCTGAACAGATACTTCACCAAAGAAGGATGTTCAGTGTCATTAATCATTATGGAAAGGAAATTAAAGCCACACCCAACCGCCTGGCTGATAGTTAGATTCACAGTCGTAAGTGTTGGAAAGGGTATGGGGCATCCGGAGTTCTCATACATTGCTGCTTTGGAAAAAGATCTGGCAGTTTCTTAGAAAACTAAACATACGCTTCTTCTCTGATAAAACACCAAATGGCGGATGATGCCGGTGCAGTGGGGGGCGGGGGGGCGGCCTGGAGGCCCGGGGGCCCTGGGATGGGGAACCAGGGTCGTGGCCATGGACGGGGCTGGAGCCGTGGCTGCGGAGCTTTCGTAGGCAAAGCCAACGATAAGGAGTGGATGCTGTCACCAAGTTGGGCCGCCTGGTCAAAGACATGAAGATTAAATCCCTGGAGGAGATCTATCTCTTCTCTCTGCCCATCAAGGAATCTGAGATCATTGACTTTTTCCTGGCGCCTCTCTTAAGGATGAGGTTTTGGATTATGCCGGTGCAGAAGCAGACCCGTGCTGGCCAGCGCACCAGGTTCAAGGTGTTTGTTGCTATCGGGGACTACAATGGTCATGTCGGTCTGGGTCTTAAGTGTTCCAAGGAGGTGGCCACTGCCATCCGTGGGGCCATCACCCTAGCCAAGCTCTCCATTGTCCCCGTGCGCAGAGGCTACTGGGGGAACAAGATCGGCAAGCCCCACACCGCCCCTTGCAAGGTGACAGGCCGCTGTGGCTCTGTGCTGGTGCGCCTCATCCCTGTTCCCAGGGGCATTGGCATCGTCTCAGCGCCTGTGCCCAAGAAGCTGCTCATGATGGCTGGTATCGATGACTGCTACACCTCAGCTGGGGCTGCACTGCCACCTTGGGCAACTTTGCCAAGGCCACGTTTGATGCCATCTCTAAGACTTACAGCTACCTGACCTCCGACCTCTGGAAGGAGACTGTATTTACCAAATCTCCCTATCAGGAATTCACGGACCACCTCGTCAAGACCCACACCAGAGTCTCTGTGCAGAGGACCCAAGCTCCAGCTGTGGCTACAACATAGGGTTTTTATACAAGAAAAATAAAGTGAATTAACATTGAAAAAAAAAAGATTTAAATGTAAAACAAAAAAACTAAAACTCTTAGAAGAAGTCTGTATTAGGGTTCTCTAAAGGGACAGAATTAATAGTATAGATGTAT